ATAGATTTGTATTTGTACACAGATTTCAGTTCTCAATTTCAGTGCATTTACGTTAACCGGATGAGAAGATTTCGCGATGTACGTGACCAGGACGAACCAGGTGTCTCTATGAAATCATAAATTCGACGATTGTCGGCGGCAAGGAGTCTCTGTGTGTCGGTCTTGTCGCGCTTGTCGGGAGATGAGAACGGTGCCTTAAGGCTCGCAACCTCTCCTCGAGACGAGATCTCTCTCCTCTCTCTCTCTTTGGTTTCCCACGAGAACCACCGCCGCCGCCGCCTTCTGGAATGTCGCTCTCCCCTTCTCCTTCTGTTCTGCTCCTCCACCGTCTCCTCCTCCGCCACCTCCGCCGATACGACCACCACCACCACCTCCTCCCTCTTACGTTGCTCCACAACGTTCCTCCTCGAGCCACCATGTCCTCTCTCTCCTTCTATCCTGTCGCTTGCAACCCCGGCCTCTTACCGTTCTATCTCATTTCCTTCTCTCTTCTTCCTTCTCCTTCTCCTCCACCTCGTTTTTCCATCCTTTCTCCCTTTTCAGACTCTCTCCCTCGCTCATCTCCCTTGATCTCCTCTCGAGATTTAACGGGGTGGATCGCGGTGCACGCTATATCTGCCGATGCGACTCGTGATTAGGAATGCATATGGGAAAAGAAGAACCTGCGAAGTTAAGGGGGCCGTGTTTAAAATATTGGCGCGTTGATCGTGGTCTAAACATTGTAGTCCTGCCTCTCCCTTGCCTCTTCCTTTTTTCTCCACCGACGATCCCTCCGCAGCAAGATCCCTGGGAATTGCTAAAACAAACTGTCGTTGCGAATCTCAAGTTTAGATCGTTAGTCGATTTGCTTTCCTCGTCTATTGGCACGAGGGAATTGTTTTTTTTTTTTTTTTTTAATGTAAAGTTTAAATTCTTTCTTGGCAGTGGAACAGTGACTATATTCTACTTTATTTTACAAAAGATACGTACTTCGACAATGTTGAAATATTTCGTATCAGTGAGAATTTGTTTGCAAGTACTCTGATTTATCTCTATTTTTTTTTCTTTTTTTTTTATTATTAACATTGCAGCAGGGCAAAGATCGCAAAAAATTTATTCATAAAAATGATAAAATTCGTCAAATTGTCAGTTTTAGACTTGAAGTAATAATGATGATCGGTAAAAGGGAAAGAAGAACGTTGTAATTAAACGGATGGTACGGAATATACGATTCTATTCAATGTCATGGTCGATGTTAGATTTCATTTATCCCTCCGTTCCTCTCCGCCTCGCCACAAATTTATTGATCCATAAACAAGAAAATATACGCGAATCGCGAGAGAGTTGGACGTTGAGTAAGATATGCACAATGGTTTACGGCCGTGTTATTCTTTATAGCTGGCCGATTATATAATTTTATGCGATAAAGACCTTCTGATGCATTGTGACATTATTTTGTTATTATCGTCTATGCGTCTATCCGTTTGTTGCACGCTGCAATATTAGTATTCACTGCAGCAGATTCTAGCCACGTGGATCTACCGATCGAGAATTTCCATTCGAGAAAATCATTCTCCTTTGTCAGAGTCAATATCATTTTGTACCGTTAAACTTAATATAGATGGCAAATATACAATCTACAATTGATTACGTTAATTAACTAGTTATTATGATCTGAAATGATCAAGACAGGTTTGGATCAAGAAAGTGTTGGAAGTGCTTCGAAGTGTTAAATTCGTATTTAATTAGTTTCCTGCGAATTAACACTGTGCGACAATAGTAAACTCTCGGTATATTTTACGCTCTGTTGGCTTACCATCGCGGCTCGGATGTTTTGCGTGATACTAACCTCCTCGTTTTGCCTCGTGATTTCGCCGTTTAGCCCCATTGAAATCGAATCGACGCCGACGAGAACAATCGACCATCCACGGTGGATTATTCTTGAAAAGCAGCAACAACCGGATCTAATTGCTGTTTACGCCTAACTCCTCGAAAATTGTTATCCCAGCCGGCGTCTGCAATATCCCCATTGTGCTTTAGTATTCTTTCTCGGGCTGACGCGGAATGTCTCTTATTACACGTTTCGTTAATAATAATGGTGGTTTACACTTTGCTACCCATGTTCGTACCGCGCACCCGTAATAAGATGGTCGTCCGTTGGTGATTGCACGAAGGTGTGAGTCGATTACACGTACAACGGGTGACACGTTCGAAATGTGTGCCGTTTCAAAATTCCCGCGGTTTGTTTGCTGATGAACTATGAAGTGAACGAAATACTCCGTTAAAGTATCTCTGGAAATTATAATCTGGAATCAGATATATAATATTAAATACATACAATTCATTTCCTCCGGTTCCTTTAAGATTCTTACGATTTTCAATGTTTGGAGTTTAGGTTACTTTAATCATGAATTTCGAGACTGAAAATCGAAGATATTTTTACGAAACTTTCGTCAAATAATTTTAATTTATTTATCTAATCGAAATATCTATTTGTTTTTCTTTTTTTTTGGAATTTTTATTATTTCTATTTTTTTTTTTTTTTAATAATTATGTATTATATATAATTTATAATTCCATAATTGACAAGTTTGTACATTTGACGAAGAGCACAAAGAACATTTTAAATGATACCGAGGGAAAAGACGATGTACCGTTTACCTTAAAGTGTGTCACCCCATGTGTGGTGTATTGTTCGAGTTAGTCCAGACGTAACACGAGATCGACCATATGAGAAGGCCATTTATGATGCCCGTTATACACCATGTCCACTAACACCGATCAGAAAGTACTAACACGGCTTATCAAATTTAAGCCTAACTAGAGCGAGAAAACAGGTAGACCAACGCTTAGTTTTTCTTACGTTCTCATCTTTAACTCCGTAGTGAACGCGGAATTTCAGTTCAATTAATAACCAATGAACAGTCATTATGACAATTACTTCAGTGATAAAAACGTTTCTATTATTATTTTTAAATGAATGACATTAATTATTGATACGTTTTACATATCAATAATTATTTCCAATTTTCGTCAGTATTTTTAAAATTATTATTTTCCCTTTCCATTTTGACACATTTATTCTATATATGTCGTCATTTAAAATCAATTATATCAACAGCAAAAAGCACATTGACAAGTAAAAATGAATGAGAATCACTGAAACTGTTTTACCATATAGGAGTGGTATTGAAGGCATTTGCAAATGATAGTTGATAACATAGAACACGTATTACCACCATGTGGTAAGGAATATCTTTTAAATATCGATGCTTGAAATAGAAACGCCTATTTCAAACTAAATTTGACAAATCACAATTAACGTGCGCACACTTCCTTTTTTTACGCGTGATAAATTATATATATACACCTGGCTAATCATTTTTTTCTTTTTATTAACAATCACATTAATCGTATCTTCCATAATAAATCCGAAAATGCAATGTAGATATTTCAATTTTATATTTGAACATGATATACCTACATGTAATTACAAAGGATTCCGTTATTGACTTTATCGAATCCTAGTTCAACGGCTTAGAAAGACGGTATGCACGTTTCGAATTTACAAAACTTAAATACGATCGTCCCTTTTTTATAAAGATGTACAGCAAAATGGTACGCTTTCATTATTGTTATTATTATTATTAT